CTTGTGCAGAAGTTTTAACAAATCTCTGTTTTGTTTGGCTTTGGTTCAAACCAGGTTACCAGGAATTTGAGGGGGTGGGAAAACTGTGATTAGGGTCTTGGTCCAAAAGAATATATTCACACTTGGATTAGTTTCCTCTTGGGGTTGTTCCAAAGGGGATCATTCGCTGCCATCTGGGGGTCCTGATTTGGCTCAGATTTCTATTTGGGCAGAGGTGAGAGCCCTGAAGCTGACATGAGGTGGTGGTGGTGGTGGTGGTGGTGGAGGGGGGGAGGGTGGGGGGTGGAGTGGGGATATGAAAATCTAAATGATTACAAATTGGAGATTATCTGAGCTTTCTTCATCTTCCTGCATGAGTTGATAGATGGAAAAAAATCACTTTTTGCTGAAGATCCTGCTTCGTGAGCTGTCTTCTGCCAACCCAATGCTGGAAGCCACCTGGTGGAATTAATTATCAGGACAGTCCAGAAACTCCCTGAGGCCTAGTTGAGTGGAAGCTGCCTTTGCCATCAATCTCTGGCTCTATGAAGCCAGCAGCTGGAAAGGGAAGGGGAGATGAGATGGCAGATTCTGGGGACATGTCTTCTCGGGGTTTGGCTGCAAGCCTGTCTGGCCACTGTTTTTTGTTGAGGCTGCTGGCAATGGATTGAGAAGAAGAACTGATAAAAAGTTGATGAGATCTAAAGCCTAGCATGTTCTCCGAGGTTCTCAAGAACCAGAAAATGCTCTGTCCTTTGGATCCAATTGATGTTACAGGGAGCAGGGCACTGGACATGGCAACAGACCAGCCAGGAGGGGCTTGTGTGTGTTCTGGGTCTCAGAAATGCCAGTGGGAAGTTTGCTTACATGAGATTTTTTTGGTTCTGAAATCTTTGCAGATGAGAAAACCCAGTCCCCTCAGATCCCCAAAGGTGTGTAGGAATCAACTAAACCAGCCCACATCCCATCCTGATTTTGAGGGTCATCTGCTCTCAATTGTGCATCTGTGCCCTGGATTCTTAAGAACAATGAATAGGAGAAACACACAGACAGAATGAAGACAGTGTCAACAGACTCTAGGCTTAGTGCCAGGAAATGCCTGTATGAGGAAGTCAGACCCTAAAGTCTTTCCCCACCCCCAGAAAAATCAGAATTGAAAGAAAAGAAAAAGCAGTCCAAGGGACAATGGGAGTAAATGAAAAAGGCCAGAAAATATCAGCTACGATAATGACCAACCACAAACCTGCTAAAATGTTATTCTATATTACAAATGAAATTAGACTCCATGGCCCTATTATAAATTCGCTAAAAGTACATATATTTATCTGAACAGAAAAATAGACTACTCTGAGATGCGTGGACAACCTGTGATGTAGCCCTACACATCAGATACTTCTAGAGCCAGAAAAATGGCAACAGAAAATGCAGAGGTAACTCTTATTTCTGGGTGTAGCCAGGGCTGCTTTGGGTCACTCTGGCTGAGTGAACGATTTGGATGCTGTCCCATAGGCCGAGAGAGGCGAGGGACGTTCAGGTCAGGGCTGGAGGCTCTTCGCTGTGCTGCTGGGGACTCCGGTGAGCCCCTTCTTCCTCCTGCCAGCTTCGCAGCCACAGAACAAGTCCTTTCCCAAAGGATCTTGGAGGCGGTTCACCATGTTCTCATTTGATTCAAAGTTCCTTGATTGGAGGCTGAAGCCTGGGACTAGTTGCTAGAGAAATAAGGAAAGGAGAGAACTAGAGACCTGGCTTTCGTGACCCTGGTCGCTGGTGAATTTTGAATTTCCCCTTGCCCATGGATTAGAGTCTAATGGTCGGCAGTGGTCGGCAAACTCATTAGTCAACAGAGCCAAATATCAACAGTACAACGATTGAAATTTCTTTTGAGAGCCAAATTTTTTAAACTTAAACTATATAGGTAGGTACATTGTTATTAACTTAATTAGGGTACTCCTAAGGCTTAGGAAGAGCCACACTCAAGGGGCCAAAGAGCTGCATGTGGCTCGCGAGCCGCTGTTTGCCGACCACGGATTAGACACTCCAGCTGTAACATGGAGCAAGACAGAAATATACAATAGTTACAAACATCAACAATACATTACAGCTTTCCTTAAGAGAATACTGTCATGTTTTTTCTCCTTAGAAAGGTGGATCTTATTAGGAGAAAGGGCAGAAATGAGGCTACGGTTACCAAGACACGGTGGAAGAGAGGTTGGGAATCAGTTTGAAGACGTCTATATTGCCAGCAATTCTCAGGGATGAGCCAGGTGGATTGAAAGGAAATGGCCTCCTCAGGATATTGCCCGCCCCCTTCCCCGCCCCATCTCTTTCTTCGTTCTTGATCCCCAGTGCCTTTAGAGAAAGGGGCTTCCTGGGAACAAATGTTCTCTCCTCTTTTTTCTTTCCCCATTAAGTGTGCTTAAGATAAAATTCCTAAAGAAGGCACCGAGAAATCTACTGCACCAAAGTCCTGTTGTTTTTCTTTACCCTAAGAGAGAAAGAGGTTGCCCACCTCGTTCCCCTGGTCGCAGACTCTCCCCTGTTGATTGGGATGCACAGCTACCTGGTCCCTAGCCCTTTCTGATCATGGTGGAAGTTGGAAGTCAAGTTCAACTGGGTTCTGGAGAAGTTTCACCGAGTTCACCAAAAGGACCAGGCTTCCATCCGCCTCCAGCCCCTAGTTTCATTTCTTTGGGTTGATTTGTTTTTTCTCCCCGCTTTCATTGGCTCAGGAATGGGTAGGACTTGGACCACCAAGGTAAAGTGGTACCTGCTTCCAAAACTATTGCTTTCCTGTCCTCCATCAAGACCGGTCGATCAAGGTTAGCTTCTTAGTGGAGATTCTTAGAAAGATTTCCTAGTGCATGTACACAGGTACAGGTAGAATGTACACATATTAAAAATCTCAGTATGTTCCTTTCTGGCAGGTGGGGGCCTGGGTAAACTCACAGCACTTTATTGTGAATCGGACCCAGGGTAAAAGCTATATATATATTCCCATGATACATCCACAAGTAAAAGAAAAAAACAAAACAGAACACAATACTTTCTAAGCATAGTATATGCTGAGTTTCAATTAATTTGTTTCTATAAGAACTCTATAGGACTCTGGCTGTTCAGCCTGAATAGGTAGGTTCTTCATGATACTTCTGAATTCGTCCTTCAAAAGTGACTCAATAAAATGCTACTTTAAGGTCAGACAAAACACACGAGGAAGGAAGGGCTAGGTCCTGTGTGACCACACAAGGCAGAAAGGGCCTTTGGTTACAAGGAGAGTTGCACCAATTGGTTATTAGTTTTTTGTGTTTTTTTTTTTTTTTTTTTTTTAAATAGGAAGAAAGAATTTCCAATCTGTACACTTCTCGTCTGCTTTAACCAACAAATGAAATGCCTTGGTTTGAAGAAGGGGTGGTAAGTTCCTTCCCACTATATATGGCTATATTTAAACATGTTTACTTTCCTGATATGTAAAATAGACTATATTATTATTAATTTTTACAGATAGCATCAGCTCTAAAAATATCTGAATCAGAAATCACAACTATTTACTTTTATCAAAAAGCATTTGTTTGTTTTCCCTGAATTTTCACATTTGTGCTGATGGCGGACATAGATGGTGATGAAAACAAAGAAGAGACACGTGAGATGGTCCAGGGAGGACTGCTCCACGGCCATTCCTCAACAGGCCTCCAGCCCACACTGAGATCTCGGCAAAGCCCCCCGGGAACGCTGCTGCTTCCTCTCTCTGGTATATCATCCGGAACAGGATGACCTCATTCTCTCTTTGTCCCTTTGCATTTGCCGCCAGAGTACTCTGAAGATACTTCGGAAGAGTCAAGATACTCCGGCCCGCATTTTCTTTGTTAACGCAGCAAAGAACAGGACTGTCCCCTCTTGGAGAGATCCACAGTCCTTGGAGATGCTGAGAAGCAGTGTGAACCAGGCGCATATTCGGCAAAGAATACACATTTTTAAGGGCAGTAGGATGACCCCCTGTCATCATATCTGTGACAGGTGGCCCAACCTCATGCCACTGTGAGGAGAGCAGGCAGAACGACTCTGTGATATCTGTATACTGACAGGTGGATCGTGCCGTTGTAATAACAGGCAGATCAATAAACATCGTTTGAAGGACAGCTAAACAACACCATGTTTCATTCCATCAGGAAGACGTATGCCTGTCACAATTGATGACTGACAGATATACACGATTGTATTTGGGACATCATCCATCAGAACTGTATTAAGAGAACAACATCAGTCCATTGCATTAAAAACGGGCAGGTCCATAACATGTTATCTTTACTGAAGGATGGGCCCACAGCATGGCATCACGCTAACCAGTGGCTCAACCCAGTGTTACTGAACCAAGGAACACATGCTGTCAGACTGAAATCAAGTAGACCAATGTCAGAGCATCAAACGAGGACAGGAACACCAACACCAAGAAACACACTAGAACTTATTGCTTTTGTCTGTACTGGCTGCATTGATGGCTGCGGAAAGGAGCTGAGCTTTTAATACAGACAGTGACACTGAAAACACACCGACAGCTGGTTGACAAGAAAACACCCAATGCCCAACCGTCTACCGTCTTCTTCTGAGATGCTCCTGTTTTCTATACACGTAGGTATAGAAGGGCCAGATACCCTTCTTTGCAATAGGGCTAAGGGGAAGCTTCAGAGGGGCAGGAAGGCGCCTGCAGACTTTGACATGGCAGACAGCAATACCAGCACAATATCACCCACTGTGGTGGGACACAGGCATATAGCAACAACCCAACTAGAATCCCAAAAAGTGGCCCACGGGAAATAGTGCTTCTTTTAAAGTGCAAGATGGTGATGCTGTCCCTGGTAGAATCTATTTTTGAAAAACATAAAGTGCTTTTTATTTAAACTTTTTAAAAAACTTGAATACCACAGGAAACAAAAAAAGAATTTCTATTATAGTAGATGCTTTCCCTGCCGCAGCAGGAAGTATTCAAAAGTCTGAACAGGGCATTTCAATTGGGGACTTTTTTTTTTCCCCCTTTCATTGTTGCAGGTTAAAAAAAAAATCAGATTTTATTCTGTTCTCCAGTAACATACAGTCTCTTGGAATAAGCTATTTCTTTTGCATATTTGACACTTGCATATCTTTTGAGCCTATACTAGTGATGTACAGAAAATGCTTTCCCTCTACAACCCTAAAGCAATGCTCAGAGTTCATACTGTTGGCTGAGTGCCTGCCTCTGAGCCCTTCCCAGATTGCCAGGGGGCAATTAGAATGGAGTACAAGTAGTACAACTCAACCTGATGATGGCTCAAAATAAAATCTCAAGTACTACGAAATACTGAAGTCAATGAAGACATTTGAGTATGGGTTTTGCGCTGGGATTGTGGCTTATGGTGCAGAGATTTCTCCATGACACAAGCATTCTCTGTAGCCTCTAACAGTGGGATCCATCCAGGAGGTGATGGACAGGGGTTCCTAGAGGTGGCCAGGCAACACCCAATACCAAATTAGTCAACTCACTTTTTCAATATCAGCCACGTGTTCCAGCATCCTTCTCCAGCCAAGGCCAGGAGGGATCAAGATGTTGCTTTCAAAGGCTGATGGATAGCCATGAGAGAAGAATGGGGAGTAGGTGGCCTTGGTTATGTCTAGAATGTGGTAGTGGTGGCTGTGAGTTCTGCTCATGTCATCTCCCAAAGAGGGCAGTGGAGTTGTTACAAGGAGGTGCCATATTCTATGGCTTGGCCAACTTCATTCCAATAGACCTGCTGTGACTCTCAAGGTGTTAGGGAGTTTTCTCTGGAGTCTCTCGTCTTTCTGGGGACTTTGCAGAGCCTTTCTGCTTCAGAGTTCATGCAGAAAAGCTATGTGGCAGGTAAGCTGAGCAGCACTCCTCTTTGGACCTCACCACAAGTCTCTCCCTCATGTGGGGTAGTTCAGATGCTCTGATCCCGTGTGCTTCCATGGGCTCCTCCCCCAGGCAACACCCGAACATCGGGGGAGATATGGTTCTCAAGTTTGTACTTTTCCTGACCACTGGGGGCTTTTCCAGTCAATGCTTCTGTAGAGTAAATACAGTTCTGCCTTAAGAACTTAGGAGAGGTGGGTAAGGGGGAACTTTCAAAGTGGTTCTTCTCTGATCTTGTCCCAATACTGAACTTGGGACTGGTACTCCCATGAAGGCTCTTGGGAGGGCTAGAGTCCACACTGTACAGCACCTGTCCCTCATCATCTGTGTCTGCATCAATGTACTGGTGGATACCCGCTTCAAAGTTGAATGCTATTGCTGTGTGTTTCTCGGGTGACCGGGAGGGTGTCCTAGCACTTGCTGTGGTGTAGATGGAGGACTCTGGACTCAGCAAAGGCCTGTCCAAGAGTGTGGCACACTCCAGTCCAGCGACAGCAGCTGCAGCAGCCCCCCGGTTCCTGAGAGGGTCATGGTACATCCCCAGAACAGGGACTAATGGGCTGGGTTCGCCTTCCACGAAGTTAACTTTAAGTGCTCGGAGCTTCAAGGGGTTGTTGGTCTTCATGGTAGCCTTGGGGCTCTCAATGAGGAAAGTAGAGTGATGACTGGCAGCAGGGGTGGGGTTGGCCTCCACAAACCTACCACCACTGGCACCCAGAGCTCCCTGCCAGCCTATCTCTGGGGCCATGCTGCCCCCAGTCTTGCTGGGGAGTGACATCAAAGGGCTGTGGGAGAATCTGGTGGCTTCAGGGAAGTCTGTGGCACAGCTAATGAAGCTATCAATGCTCGACATGCTTCTCATGTCTATCACCCCTTCTGTACGAGTGGGCAGAGGAGCTATGGGGCTGGGGATACTCTCCATTTCAAGTTCTTCCTTTGGTTTGCTGTGTGTTGCTGACTGCTTGGTATTGAGGATGGGCTGGGATTGGGTCTTGGCCATCTTATTATACATGTCTTCCAACTGCTGGACATTCAGGTGTTGAGGACTAGAAGATGATCTGGCCTTCTCAGGGGATCCTTGCTCCTTGGTTTCAAAGGACTTACTTGAACTAGTTTCAGATAGTGTCCTCTTTGGCCATTTCCATTTGTTGGGTGACAAGTGGTTATCTTGTACTTTGTCTTTATTCTCTCCATTTTTCTCAACCACGATGTCCATTATCTCGATGCTCCGGGCAAAAGCGTCTTTCATGTTCATGGACACAATGCTGCCATTCCTCTTGGCTCTCTCCAGAGCCTCTCTACGCTTGATTGCTTTCTCCTGCCTCTTCTGCTCCTTGTAGAACTCAGAGAAGTTGTTGACAATGATGGGGATGGGAAGAGCAATCACCAGGACCCCTGCGATGCAGCAGAGCCCCCCCACAATTTTCCCCAGGAGAGTCTTGGGGTAGATGTCTCCATATCCAACAGTAGTCATGGTAATAGTAGCCCACCAGAAAGAGGCTGGGATGCTTTTGAACTTGGTGTCCTCCTCATCTTTCTCTGCAAAGAAGACAAGGCTGGAGAAGATCATGATGCCCATGGCAAGGAAGAGAATGAGCAAGCCCAGCTCATTGTAGCTCCGCCGCAGGGTGAAGCCCAAGGACTGGAGGCCAGTGGAGTGGCGTGCGAGCTTAAGGATGCGGAGAATACGCATGATGCGGAAGATCTGGACCACGCGGCGAACATTCTGGAACTGAAGCACACTCTTGTTGGATTCAGTGAGGAAGATGGTAACATAATACGGTAGGATGGCCAACAAGTCAATGGCATTGAGTGGACCCTTGAAGAATTTCCACTTCTTGGGCGAGGAGAGGAACCGCAGCAGGTACTCCATGGTGAACCACGCAATGCACACAGCCTCCACGTGGGCCAGCTGGGGGTTGTCTGTGGACTGGCCAAACTCATCAACGCCCTGCAGCTCTGGCAGCGTGTTGAGTGACAGGGCAATGGTGGAGAGGACGATGAACATTATGGAGATTATGGCAAGGATCTGTGAGGAGAAGAGAGCGGGATTTAGTTATCAACCACCAATGGGATGATCACTCTAATGCCCTGAGTCTGCAGAGGGCTCCTCAACATCCAGGAGCATTTCACATTTCACTAGTCACTTAATAACTGGAGGGTTGAGCTAAAAAGATGATTTATTCAAATCCATTTATTGTCCAGATGTAGAAACTGGCTTGGAGAATTGAAATGATTTAAAGCTAATTATCTAGCCCAGGGGTTGGCAATTTTTTTCTATGAAGGGCCAGATAATAAATATTTTAGGCTTTGAAGTCCATGAATTCTTTGTTGCAACTACTCAACTCTGCAGTTGAAGCACGGAGGCAGCCTTAGATAATACATAAATGAACATGTGTAGATGTGTTTCAATAAAACTATTGACAAAAAGAGGCAGTGAACTGAATTGGACTTGTGGGCCATAGTTTGCTGACTGGTGAGCTAGAACAGTGGTTCACCACTACTATGGGGTGGGGGCTGCGGTTCTCAACCTGTGGGTCGCTACCCCTTTGGGGGTTGAATGACCCTTTCACAGGGGTCGCCTAAGACTATTGGAAAACACATATATAATTACATATTGTTTTTGTGATTAATTACTATGCTTTAATTATGTTCAATTTGTAACAATGAAATTGGGGGTCACCACAACATGAGGAACTGTATTTAAAGGGCCAGAAGGTTGAGAACCACGGCTATAGACCCTTTTGCTACACACAATCGCCTGATTTTGCAGGTGATTTCCAGGCAGGCAGGGACATCTTGGCTCCAATGTTATTAACTCCCAATTGGGACTATGAACTTTTTGAGGATAAGGGTCACGGCTTAATTACCTTTGAGTCCCTGGATCAAGAAGAGGTTTTGGCCCAGAGAAAGGGCTTATTGGACATTCGTTGAAACTAATGGAACCTAGGCCAGTGTGTACTTTATGCAGAAATGCAAGCAGATATAATACATTGCTCTCAGGGTCTTCTTCAAAACTACAAATCCAGCCGAAACCGGTTTGGCTCAGTGGATAGAGCGTCGGCCTGCGGACTGAAAGGTCCCAGGTTTGATTCCGGTCAAGGGCATGTACCTGGGTTGCGGGCATATCCCCAGTAGGAGATGTGCAGGAGGCAGCTGATCGATGTTTCTCTCTCATCGATGTTTCTAACTCTCTATCTCTCTCCCTTCCTCTCTGTAAAAAATCAATAAAATATATTTAAAAAAAACCCTACAAATCCAATCCCATCATCTCATTACTTCTCTGCTTACTAAGTTTCCAGGACATTTCAGGAGAAAATCCAAAGCCCCTAAACTTGTCTATCAGCCCCTCCCCTCTGTCCTGTTCTCAGGGACTGCCCCTCTCCTTCAGCTGCCCCTGCTGAAGGGCTGGTCTGGTCACCATGCTTGTACAATTTGATCCTGCCGCCCTAGCTGGTTTGGCTCAGTGGATAGAGCATTGGCCAGTGGACTAAAGGGTCCTGGGCTAGATTCCAGTCAAGGGCACAGGTTGTGGGCTTGATCCCCAGTGGGGGGCGTGCAGGAGGCAGCGGATCAATGATTCTCATCATTGATGTTTCTATCTCTCCCTTCCTCTCTGAAATAAAAATATTAAAAGCAAAAAACAAAGGAAACAATTTGATCCTGCCTGTTGCTGACTGGCCCAGACATGGATAGGAAGTCCGGGCTGGGATCAGCCAGCCCACCATTGAAAATCTGAGCTCGGGGACCAAGGGGATGAATGGTGAGTCTCTGAGTGAAATGGTCAAGTACTATCTAGGCTTCAACCAGCTTCTTGATAAGCCCAGGCTCCAAGCAAGTGTGTCCCAAGTGTCAGGGGACAGAGAAGATATAAAAAAAATCAAAGAAAGCTGACCCTTTGCAGGAAGCCTGAGAATAAAGGGAAGGGGCAGAGAGAAGGAGCAGTGAGGACACGGGAGGTTGGAGAGAGGATGAAAAGGGCAGCAGTTAAGAGCTTGGGCTCTGGTGTCAGAATACTTTGGATTCAAGTCCCAGCTCTGCTACTTTCTTACCTTGAGCCAGTTATATAACCTCTTGAAGCCTCAGTTTCCTCATCTGCAAAATGGGATGATAATAACAATATCTACCTCAGAGAGCTGCTGTGAAGATTAAATGTGTCAACACACCCAGAACACTAAGGACAGCTTCCAGCAGAACACAGTGAGTGTAGAACACAGTGAGTGTTTGATACATGCCAGCTATCATCCTGGGGGAATATCTCAGCCCACCCTCCCCATCAGCCCTTTAGGTGGCCCAGCTAGTCTCTGCTTTCTGCTGTTCGGGAACCGCCTGCTGTATCCTGTAGGGAAACACTGTTGCTGTTTGGATGAGTGTGAGAGGCTTCTCTCCCCTGTAATGAATCCCCAGTCAGGACATGGCTGTCAGGTCCCTCTGCATTTGACTCCGACCCCTCTCTTTGGCCTCGCCTCCCACAGGTACTCAGTCTTCACGCTTCCCTAGCCACATGTGCCTGTTGGTCTATTCTGCATGTCTGTGCTTCTTCCTCTCTGTCCAGTGAACTGTAATCCACCTTTTAAAACCCAGCCCATGTGTCCTGTACTCGCCCCTCAGAAGTCATGCCTACATTCCCTAGGCAGGCTGGCCACGCCATCCTCTGGACTCCCCTATTATTCTGTCTTACCGTGGGGTGCATATCACACATATCCCATTCCCGGGGAGGTGTGCATCCATCACTGCCAAGTATCTGTGAGCTTTGGGGGGACAGGGATTGGTTCTGAGGCTTAACTCTGCACACCCAGCACCTAGCCCAGGGCATGACACCCGCAGGCACTCCCAAGTGTTTGTCATCTGCTGCTCAAGGTCACAGAGCTGCAAGTAGAAGGGCCAGGACCAGCATTCAATTTTCAACGCGGCCACTATTTATTGATCATGTGCTATGTGTGAGGCACTGGGATACCACAGGCAGCAAGAGAGCTCTGGTGCCAGCTCAGAATAGGAACGGGAGCGTCTCGTGATGCAGTGTTTCCTCAAACTCAGTTGCTCTACCAACATCTTGATTTTCTTTTCTTTTTTTTTTCTTCCCCCTAGTGGTGTTTTCAAAGAAAGCTCGAGTTTTATTTTCTTGATTTATAGTCATTGAACAAGAAAAATTCTGCAATCATTTTATAAAATAAAATATCCGACATGCACAAAAGTAGATCTAATTTGTACATATTTACGAGCCATAATCAAATGAGCACCTATGAAGCCACCACCCAAGTTCAGAAACAGAGCACGTGACAATAACACGGACCCTTCCTGTGTCCGTCTCCACCCCAGAGATGACCAGCACTTTTTCTCACCCCTTGCTTTTCTGGGTAGAGTTTAATACACATGTATACACGCCCAGTCAAAAGATGGTTTCATTTTGCTTAGGTTTTTTTTTAAAAAAATATATTTTTATTGATTTCAGAGAGGAATGGAGAGGGAGAGTGAAATAGAAACATCAATGATAGGAGGGAATCATCGATCGGCTGCCTCCCGCATGCCTCCTACTGGGGATCAAGCCCATAACCTAGGCATGTGCCCCTGACTGGAATCAAACCCGGGACCCTTCAGTCCACAGGCTGACGCTCTACCCACTGAGCCAAACCGGCGAGGGCTCATTTTGCTTAGTTTTGACATCATATTGTATGTGCTCTTTTGCTACCTGTACTACTTTTTCCTGAATAGTAATAAAATAAATAAATAAATAAATAATCAAATAAAATAAACAAACCCACTCACCTTCTTTGTTTTATTTTACCCTCATCCTAAGAAATAAACTTCTGCTTTTGCATGTTAGAAATATATGTATTAAATATTCATTAAAATAAATATGTGATCATTGGAAAAAACCATTTTGGCAGCACACCTTGGAAACTACTGCATTGGGGTTAGGAGCGCCACCCTGGACCTGGAATCCAGCTTTGCCATTTGTTGGCGAGGTGGCCTCGGGCACCAAGACTTCCCTCCCCTCAGTTTCCTTATTGGTAAAATGGGAGACATACCAGTGGATGATCTTGACCTTCAGGGGACATTTGGCAAATTCTGCAGAAATTTCTGATTGTCACAACTTGGAGGAGGGACAGCTAGAAGGCGGAGGCCAGGGATGCTGTTAAATGTCCTCTAATGCATGGGACAGCCCCACAATGAAGAATGAGCCAGTCCCAAAGTCAATAGTACCGAGGTTGAGAAACCCTGAGATGTAACGATAGTCAGGCCCGCATGAGTTGTAAAGTGGGGAAAAGGAGACTGTGCATGTAAAGCTACTAACTAGCTCAGGTCTAGCCAGGCACATAGCGGGTCTGACCTTATGAGGCAGCCAGCCAGAGCCTTGGGCTGAGCCCCAAGGTTGCTGCTGCAGCCTCTGACTCCAGCCAGGAGGGAGCCAGCAGGAGAAGGAGTAGATCCCTGGGGAGTCTGTTCCTTTAAGAGCTGGGAGGTCCCATTCTAACCCAGTTTCTAAGCACAAGACAACTCTAGGAAAGGCTCACATAATTGAAGTCTGCCAACAGACCCATAAATTATGCACCCAGCTATTGTGTAGTCCTTAGGCCTGCTATTCGAAGGCAGGTACCCGCTTTGTACCTGAGAATGTGCCCTCCCCTCCCCTCCCCTCCCCTCCCCTCCTCTCCTTTCAGCCTAGGAAAGAAGAAAAGGCGGGCAGAGGCCCTGCTGGCTCCTGGAAGTGGATGCCTGCTGCTCAGGGTTGGGTTGGGAGGGTCTGAGCGCACCAGGCCCCCTTTCCTGTGTGTGTGAAAGTATCAAATAAAATGTGCAACAATGCAGCCTGGCCGAAACCGGTTTGGCTCAGTGGATAGAGCGTCGGCCTGCGGACTGAAGGGTCCCAGGTTCGATTCAGGTCAAGGGCATGTACCTGGGTTGCGGGCACATCCCCAGTAGGAGGTGTGCAGAAAGCAGCTCATCGATGTTTCTCTCTCATCGATGTTTCTGACTCTCTATCCCTCTCCTTTCCTCTCTGTAAAAAATCAATAAAATATATTAAAA